ACACACACACACACACACACACACACACACAAACTCACTAGTATACTGATACAGGTGACGATCCTACTGGCACTGAAGCCACCACCTTCCACAAAGTGGCACATTACGACACACCTGTGACACAGACTGGTGGAATCTGGCGCTCCTCAATAATGGGGAAAATTGAGTTATTGGTAGCATCTTAAAGCCTGTTCATTTGCGTTGCTTTAGGTGGTAAAAATACTCATCTATGTTGAATTGAAGTCGCCTGGTTTCAGAAATATAATTATTGAGAGAATGGCCGCCACAGTTTGGTAACTTACATAGCTTGAGAGTTCTTAGAACATAAACATTTACTTTTTTTTGTGCCTTAAAAAAATGTTTTTCTGTAAAATTAATACAGCATTTTTTAAAAATAGACGTAAAAGGTTTTGAGCCAAAAAATGAAGTTAGAAAGAAAACAATTGCCCAACGGCCAGGAAACTGCCGGTTCCTTCAATGTCATCATTTTGACGACGAGCGCCTGATTTCACCACGATGTCTCTCAAATAAAACTAACAGAGTGTTCCGAGAAATGTCAGAAAAAACAACCTGTACCTGGAAGCTTTGGCTTGGGGAGAGTTTTACGGCGCAACAGCGTCAGGTTAGGTCACGAGAGCGTGCGGGGCACACACAAAATATTGAAATAAAGTGGAAATATTGTTTTTTAATCCAGAGAAAGAACTGACGGCAGTGTCTAGATCTTCAGTAATGTAAGTGATCCTAAAATAATGACAAAAATAAACTTTCTTTTTTCTTCAATGTTTACTGTAAAGAGAAACTCCTCGTCTCAATGTCGCTCATATGGAATAGAAAGCTTGACAAAGAAAAGAAAAAAATATTTTAAAAATAAACAAATAATCCAACATAAAGCAAATATACAAAAAAGAAGAGGAAATGACCCAAAAAAAGAAGAAAAAGAATGAAAAGAAAAGAAAGAAACGGAAAGGAAAGAACAGAAAAGAAAAGAAAAGAAAAAAGGAATAGAATAGAACAGAAAAAAGGAAAATAGAAGAAAACTGGGCAGCCTTGTGAGAAGGACAAGAATGTTTATGAGAAGACAAGGGCAGGTACACGACATCCCTGTACGACTGTACAAAAGCTGCTAGCAGAGAGCTGCCGGACTCCCCCCCCCC